AATCACCAGCGTGCACGATCAGTGCATTCATCCTCCGCGCTTCTAGAAGCACTTGCATAGTCAGGAGCGACATCTACTTTTGAATTATAGATTCGAGAAGCTTGCAAGGAACTAGTTCTCCAAAACATTTATTAGGTGTGAATTTCTTCACAAAGATCAAGAATAACGCGAAGGACCAGTCTGTTCTGTATCAATAAGCGTTCAGCTCAAAGTTGAGGCTACATTTTCATAACATTACGATCACTGCTAATCGGATCATTGTTCTTGCCGCCATTTTTACTGTCCTTCTTGCTCTCCCTCTTGCTGCCCTTCTTGCTACTCTTCTTGCCACTCTTACTGCCTTTCTTCCTGGACCCTTTTGACCTGTTTGATTTTTTACTGCCATTTTTCGATTTTTTCTTCTCTTTCTTCGAGCCTTTTGGTGCGCCAGCGTCGGTGCCAGAGCCTGATGATTCTTTTGAATCTTTTTTCTCAGCTATCCCAGCCTGAAAAAAGGTTGAGGTAAGGTTCTGAAAAACTAGAAAAATGCAAGGGTTTACTTTTTGCATCATTTCCAGCTCCTTATTGAACTTCATCGCAATTTGATACATGTTAGCGTAATGCTGAGATATTCTTTCGATTTGGACAGCGTATGGTATTCAGGAGAGAGCCTCCCACCGTAATCGGTATAGGGACTAAGTGTAAGTTCTTCAGACCTGAGAACTAGGTGGAGATCTTTATTCTCTATTCGTATCCCATTCATATCCGATTACGTGGAGGATCCCGGACAAGACACAAAAAAGACTTACGGCATCTCGAGCGAGGGTGAAGTCGGTCTTTTCAGTACTGGCTTCATGAGTAGCGCCTGGCCTGTCTTCACCTTCCACCTTTTCTTTGCTGAACGAAACCATAGGTGTAGGTGGTCCCGGATCAAATAGGTGTCCCATCGTTCTTGCACGGGTTTGATACGTCTCTAGCACGTTCACAATGTCGAAATAGGCTCTTCTGGCTCTCGTCAGACCTTCCCCGTGTACATAGTTCCACTAGAATTACTCAATTAACTTGACTTTAGTCCAGTTCAGGACGAACCTCATGCGTATAGGCACAAAGGAAGACAAATAGCAGCTGAGCAATAGGTAATGTTGCACCGCTAGCTAGCCTTTGACTAATCATCTGAGATACTCCCAATGTCCATAACACCAGTATGGAAGCAGTAAAACGAGCTCTGAACTGGATCATCACTTAGACAATTGGCAAATTGCCATCCACATGTCAGCTCACATCCTCGGCTCGTGCTTAGGAGTGCTTGACTGCGGTGGATGCATCGCCGATATTGGACCATGGGCCGTCTTCAGATTGTCCTTGGACTCCTTTGTCTCCTTAGCTTCTTCAGCCATTTCTATAGGAGTGCAAGTACGATCAGCGCGATTGTGGAGGCTAGTAGCTAACCAGCAGAACAGTAGGAATTCGAATGAGACTCGGACATGAATCTCGACTTATATACGGAGCCTTTCTGATAAGCATAATTATAAATGGATTTCCCATTTTAAATGATTAGAAGAAGAATCGCAAGTGGAGAAGA